GAAAGCTCCACGAAATGTGCACTTCGAGGTTTACAAAATGCTGTGCCTGCCACGAAATCTGCAAACGAGCCACATGTCCAAAAGCTACGATTCACTGCACCTGTCACAAAATCAGAGCGCCTCGGGGGTCACGACCATATGCAAAGTGCTGCACCTGCCACAAATTCTACACTTCGGAGCAAAGCCCGATCCCCTGCACCTGTCAGGAAAAGTCGACGTTGGAATACGTTGGACCACCAAACCTAAAACACGAGCTTTCCCTTGCGCCTGCCACGAAAAGTGACCACCATGTCCAAAAACGCGTGCGGCACCACAACGAGAGCGCAGTCGCGACAAGCACCCACTGCGGCCACCCAGATTTCGCGAGCCTGCACAGTCGAATTGCACGTCGACGATTTCGAGAGGCATACATGTATTGTAAATAGCAGCGAATTAGCCGTACACGCCCGCGCCGTCACCTCGATCTAGCCCCGGTGCTTAACCATTAGCGTAAGAACCCCTAGTGTGTCCACACTGTTTGATCTGTTTGGGGAAATAAGAGCTGCCCCGTAACGTCCTGTGATAGGCTCGTAATGATCAACAATCAAGTTCAATGGCCCCTGTGCTAGTGACTAATCCTCCAAAATCCTCCAAAGATGTATGACTGCAACACAGCTTGTTGATCAACACCGAAATTGAGAGGGCAACGTACACGAGTGCAAAGCAGCGCCTTTACGTTTGAGGTGTTGCAACAAGTCGGCCAGGCGCTACATTAATTAGGAGGTGAATGCCCAAGCGATAACTTCGCATTCAATCGAGCTGACAGGAGAACTTGAAGAATTTGTCACACGAGCATGTGTTGGGGAATTTGGGCTTCAAGACCACATGTCACTGAGGTCAAAGGTCACTAACGGTCACTAACCACCAAACTCTGTCATGACCTACCTGACGTGAGCGCATTCCTTCATGAGGTCCATGTCAAATACCTGCAGGCTGTTGCCACTGCATCGTGCAATGAACAAGTGACCAACTCAGAGATTCTTTGTTGACTCATCCGAATCTGCCCACCTCTTACTTAGCACACATAGCGCCATATAATTGGTGTCCGAGTAGCTGCAGAAACTGTCAAGTTGTAAAATATAGCAGTCGTGCCAACCCCCCGGACACCCTGGAAAGATCACATCCATTGTATGTCTTTCCACATGGCAGTAAACATCACCCAAGAATCGATTGGTCTCGGCTTTCCATGGAACAGGTGCCTGTGCTTCTCGCGACTCGGTGCCAAAGACCATATACTTCCGCGGTGTGGCCGCTGTCCTTAGAGAAATGATGGAAGGCGCAACGCAGGTCACAGCACTTGCATTCCTTGCAGTACATCGAATCCAACATCACGTTGTACTTTTGTGTTTGTCTCTTACACAAATCTATTATATATATATATATCATACATCTCTATATACAAAGAAACAAATCCAACATGAAGGTTCAGTCCGATGTCTTCATAATCTGCTACGTACAAGCGAAGGCGACCGGGGGCTTCAAGTAATTATGCTGAGCCGTCATGAATCTCCCCTCCAATGTCAGCCACATTGTGGAGCCGCTGGGATGGGACTGTAGTACTGCAAGTCGCACCGTTTCAATGAGAACCAATGTCCCCAGCTTTTTATTTCGGTGTGAAAGCCACTTGACCCAGTCAGCAATCACGCCTTTATGTTAAAAGGACCTTGGGTTGAGGTGTATGCGAATCAAGGCTTGTCTTCAAGCCCAACTATGATGGTCCAAATAAATACAGTAGTAAATTGATAGCAGCGGCAACCTTAACCTGGGGGAACCAGCGAACACATCTGAGTGCAGCACGTGCACTCCCACGCTTCAGTTGGGTAAGATAGGCCCTCCTGATATGCTAAACAGCTTCGCCGGAAGAAGTTGTTCCACATGGCAAATAAGGGGATAACAGGTCAGCCCTGCAGGACAGCCTCTGAACAATGAAACTACAGTAAACCCACTGCACCAAAGCTTTGTTTCTGTGGCAGCACTCTGCACACGATCACTCTTGAGCCATCTTGAGGATTGCCAAATTTGTCATTTGTTTGTCACTTGTTGTCTACAACTCAGTGACTTTTCAATGGCTTTCAAGGGCCTGCCGATACTCGTCTCGCTCGTCCCTCGGCGTTCGCCTTTGTCATCGGGGCATCCATCGGTACAAGCACCATTCAACAAATAGTTCTCCGTCGTTTGCCATATTTAAGCAACCACATAAGAAAAATGCACCCACAAATGACAGCTCAGCTCTAGTCTCCTGCAGGCCTTCCTTCCGAACATTTGACCTCATTTATGCTGGCCTCCTGAACGGAAACACAAACTGTTTTCATATTTTGTCTATATAATATATATATATTATATATATTATATGTGTTAATATATTGTAGTCCCAAGTTGGCCCATTTAAAGACGGATATTCCCGGATATTGATATCAGCAACACCTCTAGATTCTAGTCCATTCTGGTACACTCGGTCTGTTCTCATGCAACCGCAATATAATGATCCCAAGGGGGCACTTTGGCACCTGGGTGTCTTCGCGCTTTGAGGACGGCTGCCCATGCTTTTGGAAGCACCTTGGAGTGCCAATAGTAGCTTAATGACAAAGCGGTTTTAGTGCAACTAGTGTAAGACATAGCATACCTTACTCTTTGCAATGAGTGTTGCTTGACCACATGTTGAGGCAATATTATCCTTTCATGTATCACAGGAAGGTGCACCACCTTGTCACGGACTCTTGCTTATGTATAAATATACAAATATATATATATATATATGTCCTTCATTTTCCGTGCCAAAAAAAGCACCTTGAGCGTACTGGTTCGTGCCTACTCAGATTGTGTTGGCGGCGGCCCTGGAGCTTCTTGTAGTGCTTAATTATTCCAGCTAGATTAGCTGTATAGTCTTGTCCATGGTCAAATTCGACCACAAATGGGGTGACATACCTGGCGGATGCAATACGAATCATTTATATAGTGGTTGATTAGTATCTTGTAGCAAGGACGGTACTAGGCGCTCCTGGCATCGCTACTAGGAACAAGAAGCTACTAGGGGCTCCTGGCCTTACTACTAGGAGCAAGAAGTTACTAGGAGCAAAGGGCATCGCTACTACTAGGAGCAAGAAGCTACTAGGCTTCGCTGCCGACATATGCCAAAACAAGCGCTTCAATTCAAGCCTCAATGTTACATGGGGTCACACCTATTATCAAGGTGTCCAATACCGGCCGGAACTAGCCAATACAAACAGGTGCCATAAGACTCATAAAACTGTTCTTATGCCTCGTGTATAGACAGGATCATTGTAGAAAGCCTCTACCCACAAAAAACTTAGACTTGTTGGTGCCCATGCATTTTGCTACTGCTACAAAGCATTACACTGCGGTTCCAGGCCGGATGTGACATAAAAACAGCTCTTTAAGCATTGGGGTCAACTCAGAGGACTCAGGAAAGCATCTAATGCCAAGAAGCTTTGTATATAGATTCGATTCCGTAGAGCCAAGTTAGATGGATGTCACAATTCGACTGGCACATCATAACATGATCTGATGTTCGATGGTTTCTTTGTGTGTGTGTTCTTTTTTTGGGTTTAATCGCTCCAGTTCATGCGTTCAGTCGTTGGCGTCATTTTATGGAGGGACAGTGCTGTTTAAAGAATACACAAAATTATCAAAATTACACAAATACATACTTGGAACAAAAAGCTACTAGTAACAAGTGCATCGCTTCTAGTAACAAGTGCCTTACTAGTAGTAACAATAAAGCTACTAGGAACAAAAAACTACTAGTAACAAAAAGCTACTAGACACAAATACATACCTAAACACCCAAACACCCGTCAATGGACGAGGCGTCTGGTGGCGGTGCGTTCAATCAGTGTGCAAGTTGTGTGGAGCGAAATACCTGGGTTGCTTGTACAGCCAGCACGTCTGACAGGATGTGTTGCTTGCAACTGCACTCCAATCCTGTTAGAGCAAAGGAGATCTACGGAGTCGGGGCGTATGCTCAGTTCCTCGCATCCCAAATCTGACCCGAGGCCCATGCAGGTCAGTGCAGCAGCATAGTCCTTCAAGTCATATGCTCCAGGGCCAGGTGTATTCTCCTCAATGCCAAAGTTGTACTTGAATCTGACAAATTACGTGTGATCTTGGACCTTGGACTCTAGCAGAACTGCCATTGGCTCTTGCTGGTTGATGCTGGTTGTATTGGATCTGCTGCTCGAGTATCAACACCCTGCTTCCAGCACCTCTGCAATCTTTGCAAATGGCAGTCTGTGGTTTATGTTTTGCTGCCTCATGACAAACAACAAATACCCGTCCTGCGCCCAAAGCGACCGATTTCTTGCCCTCGCAAAGGAGTACCTGCCAAAAACTTTATCAGTACAGTATAGCAATTTAGCAAATGAGGCAAAACAATATACTGCAAGCATTGAGCCATAGTCCGCACTGAAATGTAAACAAAAATGCTGGTCCCGCTTGAAACAAGTCTGTTCCGGTGCAGCAGAATGAGCACCTACAGTTACAACTCCATCACAACATGAAAGAACTTGACTTCTGAAGATCTAGCACCGCTTCAGAACATAAGCCAGAGCAAAAAAGCTTGTAATGAACACCCTACTGCTTAGATTGCAATAATCCGTCTCCTTGAGTGCTTGCTATGTGTTCTCTCTTTCGACGAAGAAAAACATCCAAATACTGAGTATATACCGTATCCCTACACCCAAATTGCACTTATGCAAAACAGCTGACCCCTTGAAGTCACATCAAAAACCAAAGCAGGGCGAGGACCTTGGAAGGCTTTGGGGACATGCTCGAGCTGTTGCAAAGCCACAAAGATTCACACTGTCCTTCGACAAGGTGACTCAAAGCCTGAGAAGAGAACCCCAAAAAGTCAGTTGCAGTCCCTATGTTGTTTACTTTTAATAATGTACACACTTATATGCTATTATATTTAAGAAATAAAACAGTAACAACACAATAATTCAGCTTCTGTTCCCGGTTCCGCCTTGCTGAGCTGGGCCTCAAAGAGTTCACCTGTTGACCAATGGACTGATCACCCCACTCCTGCACGAGGCCGTCACTCTGGTGCACGGGACTTTCATGGATTGGGGAGTTCATACTCACGAAATTCATCAAGCATTAGATGTTGTTCAGGTGAGGACCAATGCCTGAGGTCATGATTCAATGGCCTACATATCAAAGAACATATTACGAAGGTATGGTCCACAAACGAAAGTCCCGACACGATTGCTATATTGAATTGCGATCCTTTATTGAAACTGTGGTCATTTATGTCTTCACCTCAAGGCGGATGAGCGCACTTGTTGGATCTGAATTATGGCGTACAGTACCATGATCGTGACCAGTGCGCACATGCATTTGATCGAGAAGACGATGTAGTTTCGTCGCTTTTTGTGTTTTGCAAGCTTCGATTTGGTTCACTGACACCTTCATGCAGGGGAGCCCATTCCGGTCAAGGTTCTCATCCTCCCACGCCATGCCTGTCGACAGCGAGCAGCCAGGTCAAAGACATATTACACAGCCCGAATCAGCCCGAATTGTGACATTCGGAGCCCGAATTGTGGAGCTATTGAGTTTGTAATTTGCCAGAGCTTGTTGAGCCCCTAGTGAGGCCCTAGTGAGTCCCCAGAAAGGCTTCGAGAAAGCCTAAGAATAGCGCCTACACAATTGAGCAGCCGGAAAGTTTGATTTGAAAGCTACTAAGACTCAGAAGATGAAGGTTGCTTATAGGAGGTGCTCAGGACTCAGAAGATCCATGAGATTGAAGCAACCGTGATGCCTAGTGTTCCTGAATGGGCAACCTAGCCTGCCATGCTCTGTGAAGATGTGCCCTGCATCATTGGACCCGGATTTGGTCAGTCTTTAGTTAATACGACTTTTGTGCGGCAACAACCAAATCCTTTCTAGATTGAAAGGATGCCTACTTGCAAACTTCGGAAGCGAATCGAAGGCTTCAAGGTGTCCATCTGCTTTTTGCCGACCTTGGCACCTGTGCCTTCTCCGAATCATTCAATATGCATCCACGGGTTCCATTGAAACAAAGGGATAGTCCGGATAGTCCTATTGATTTCGGTATGGACAGGTGCATCGAGATGAGGGACATATGATATATGATGATGATATACGCAGGGGATATATGCACTGATTGCCCGATATCTATTCCAAGCTTGGGGTTGCAGGTGTCCGCTCGTTCTTTTGAAACTCGTTGCACCTCTCCATATCATTCAGCATCTTCCTAAATAGAGTTGTCTCTACCCGCTGTCCCAAACAAACATCTGTCCAGGCCTCTGTGCCACCAGCTTCAGCTCATGAGACAGGATCTCAAGTCTCTGAAAGCAAATTGAGGTTTTGTAGAAAAAATGCATTGGACAAACTTAAAATTGTTCAGTTCTGTGAGCAAATTCTACTGATTCTAATGTCTTGAATGGCCTAAACCTTCCGTGTCGACCGAATTCAAGGGGAAACCGGGCCGGAAAGCCAAATCCACTTAAGAATAATTCTGCCTCAGACTTTACGCTATAACAAGCCTTTAGAAAACATAGTTTCAAACATGGCCGAGGTGCCTTGACTTGAGCATCAACAGTCACATCGATAATCTGTGTATATACATATGTGTGTATCGTCATCCAGCCGAGCAAATGCCCATTCTCTGTTGCTTCTCCATGGGCCTGGTGTAAGCCAATGCAATATAAATATAATCTCGCTAATTCTGCACTCGAGCTCCACATGATAGCACAGGCTGGCCCAATTAACATGCTTTCTTTGCCCTATCCGTGGCTAGGCCATCTAGGTTGTGGCCTGGAAGCGTGGATGAAACTCCAGTTCATCTATGTATTGTGTTATATTGTAAACACGTCTCGAGTTCTTGTCGAGCCACATGTTTCCTGGTTCATGCCACTATCACCCATGGTCCATTCTTTTGTGGCATCTTGCTAATTTGGCATGTAATGCTCCCAACAGCAATTCCACAAGGCAGAACAACAGGGCCAAACTTCTTCCCACACACAAGCGCAATCTGAACCTCAGGGCTTCGTCCCAACCCTTGTCGAAGGCACAGACGTCTTTCAACACTTGCTTGGTACATTAAATAGAGACATCGTAGCCTTGTGACACTGTCGGTTTCCCGGGCCTTGCCGATCTTGAACTTTGCAGCTACAAGTCTGACAAAGTCTGACAGGTGAACGGTTTCACCGTACCACAAAGGTTGAAGCAAAAGCAGCAAGGGTCTTGGAGTCTTGGACCATCTTGGATCTACCCAAGGTCAAGGCCCATGTTCGACCTGTAAGCAGTTTCCGATTCAAACATGACCCGTTGGAATCCTTTTTGATTGATGAGTTACATTGCCATCAAGATTCAAGATAGGATTCAAGATTGCCCAAAAGGATCCAATAGGGCTCTGGATGTGAATTTGCTCCATATCACATCTTGTCGATTGGCAGTCACCGACCTGGCAGCTGAGGATTGAGCACATCCCGAATGTTCTGGTTGGGTGGTCGAATCCGCTCAAAGAATTGTCAAAGTAACTAACTACTTAACTGACTGAAGATCTTCACCAGTTCATCTTTATCGTACCAGACTTGCATGTTGGCGCACATACAATACAATTGTTACAAAGCCAAATCCTTCAAGAAACGGGTTCTTCATGTTTCATTTGAATGCAATAATAATTGAACCTGACATCTTGAATAAAGTTGAATGGTTTAATCTTTTCTATGATTTCCCCTTGATTTGAATCAATGACCCGGGCTGATGTGCTTGTGTAACGTGGCTGACTTTTTGGATCCGCATTCCGGCACTTTTGCTGAATCAGCTACAAAAATATGCATTCAAATCAGGGCTGAAAGTTCAAAGACAGCCGCTACTAGGCCGCTACACATCATCAAGTGTTGGAACGGCGAGTTGACCCCATTCCACTTGGTCAAAAAGTTTGCAGGTCGCAGGGCTTGGAATTCCGAATTTGGCACAGCGTCCTAGGAACTGGAACTGGCGTCTCAAGCACAGGGTGCGAGGCAGCACATACATCAGCTCCCAAACCAAATTGGATGCAGGGACCCGCAGGGTGCATGAATTCCATCAGTGGGTCTTTGAAAGGTCCCGCATTCTTACACCGAATTTCTGCGACCAGCAAAAGCTATAACGGACTGGGGTCAATTCGTCTGGGTATTTGAGATGGACTCCTGCCGGGAGGGCGGAAAAGCATGACTGGCGAACACTCATTGATGAGCACCACAAAGCTTTGGCCATTGCCACTATTGCCAGGTTGTCGCACAGGTGGCACTCTTGCATGAAAACAACTGAAGAAAATTGAATTTCACCATTTGAGCTTGCCGTCGATGTTGTACTTCTTCAACAAGCCCGCGTAGTAGGCCTCGCTACCTTGCCCATTTTTTGGCTTCCAGCGAAGGCTCAATCTTGTTGAATTCCTGGGTGATGGATGGAACATCAGGAATACTCTGGATACTTATGATCCTTCATGACACTTCAGCTTTAAGCTACATAATATACTCTTTTGCACAGAAATATACTGCCTTGCCATAATCCGAATGAATCTGAATAATGCATATATAATAACAATCGTTACTATTGCATGTATATATATATATATATACATACACACACACGCCCGTATTCTTGCCACAGCTGGAACGAATTCAGCAGTCATGTTGCCAATGGCAGGGCATTGTACAAAATCATTATATAAAACAATACAAAACATCTGGCTTACGATTCCACAATATGTACACTGTTGCAAAAAAAAAAACTTGACTTAAATGGAAACATAATGCAAGAACAATAAGTTGCCTGCAAAAAGTCTGATTTATATAGAATGTACCAAGGCTCCTTCACCCATTTCAAGGTTTCAGCATCACAGGGAGCTTGGAAGTGGCAGTAGGCGCCCTGGTCAAACCAAGAGAAGAAGGACTGCAAACGGATTAGCTCCAAGGCTGACCCAGGTAGAGTGCATCCGTTGTGCTTCAGCATTTGGTAGGCATACCTCAAGAAATTCCATGGCCCTCGCAAAGAGCTTGGTTTACAATGTTTACAATCTATGTCGATGTCTTGACTCAAGATCAAGATCAGCTTACACCTGTTCAAAGGACATACAATAAATATCATATATTCGAATGAGGAGTGGTAATTCAGGAGGGAAGAAGGTGTCAGGTGTCTCTATGACTAAAGAATAGACAAGCTGTAGATGCAATAGTCAAGCTTTGCAAAGTTTAGCAATGGTTTTGAGCGCACACGAAGCATCGACATAAATTAGGCAAAACACTCATCCTTACCCCATGACATGATAAGATTGGAGATGCCACAGCCAGCCTTGTAGATGCCATTCTTGGTTCCATAGAGTGGGTGCGAGTAGTCTGGATTTGTTTTGAAGGCTTCAGGCAAAAGACAGGCGTCTTCCGCTGGTGCACAACCAACTGGGAAGGTATCACCCAGCACAGCCCATTGATCCAAAGCCTCCTGAAACATGTCTCATGTCATGTCGGTCAAAGGCCATCAAGCGTGTGTGCAATTACAATTATTACAGTCTGTATGAGTCTATGTACATACTATCAACCCGATGACCCTGACCTCAAACTCTGCAAGCTACCGTGGCTTCCTGACTGACATGTGTAGACTCCATACACAAGGCAAAGCCTTACCACTCACATCCAACGTATATTGATTTGTAACATGTTGTAACTCTATTGAAAAAAGAGTGCTCTGCGAATGAAAAAAGCAACTGTCCCCAGAAGCACACTCACTCACCCCGTCCTGGCCCGCAACCTCAGGAGCAGCCATGATCTTGCCCAGATTGTGGAGCAAACCCACCAAGTGGAACCACCTGGTTCTGGGAGGGCAGGAAAACTCCAACGCAGCCCGGTAACCATTGGTGACCCTTGTTCTGTTAACCTCGTCTACCTCGGTCTGTTTAACCCTTACCCTGTGGGAAAGGTGGAACTACAATCCAGGTTTACAACCAAGGAACTCATACTCCTCTCCAGGCCAGGAAGCCCTGATACATTCAGCTCGTTGGAAGGGCTCATCGTCCAAAAACTTCAATACATCCATGATGCTCTTCTCTCCTTTGTTAAATTTCAACCATCGCTCCTGTCAAACACATCGCAGTACCCTACAAAACAATACAGCTGCAAGACGTCAGCTTGAAGTGAGCTGCTCGAGTCCTGCTGGCCTTTGACAAAAGCCATGGTTTGCTTGGCATGCTTCTCATCCGAGGCTGAGGTCTGGGGATATCCTCGAGACAGGTCGGGCTCGGAATGACAATCCGTCGACCATCAATAGGGGAGGGAAAGGGTAGAGGGAATGCACTTTTTCCGGTGGCCCCTCCAGTTCATATTGCATTGTTCAAGAAGCCCCGGAAACACAACTTTACTTCATAGGCCAGGCCACAGCCATTAGAGCGCACAACTATTCATATGATGGGGAAGTGCTCAGGGGATTGCAATTCCAAGATCTTCCAAGGATTTCAAGGCTCAATATGGAAGATGTTCAGGTGGGGAATAACTTTTCGGGCTTGTCCCTCGTTTTTGGTATCTCACCACCGATGGCGGTGGGTCTTCATCTTCCATCCAGAGTTCCGTCAGCATGGAAACAGTGACCTGGCAAAAAGCAGCTGGAGACGTCTTGGGGTGCATGAATGGTGACCCATTCAAACGACGCGTGTCACTTTGACGCCGGCCCACTCCTTCTGGCACCTGTGTTCGCAGCAGCTTCTGTGGCGGCTCAGGTGTGGGCAGCACGTGAGGCTGGATGGAGGCCACCTCAGGAAGTTGACAGCAGATCGTCAACACCGGGGATAACGAGCAAAAGCGTGGTGGTGACGTCTACTGACCACAACCTTCCTTCTACTGAAAGCTCTTACATGCATTTGCACTACATGACTTACATGACACTACCTCAAAATAAAACAGAAACTCCTGGAACATTGGAAAAAGTAGGTGTACTCCTCTCATTGCTCCTTTACTCACTTACAGTAAGTTTCCCTAAAACTCTAGGAACCAAATCATGAGCGCGAGCCATCCTGCGTCCTGTCGGTAGTAGCGTCCACTTGCAGTTAGTAGTGCTAATACCTCTATCAGCGGCCAACCTTTGCCCCTCACGGGCTTCAAAAAAAGGTATATGATATATGATATATGTTTTTGCTAGTTGCTCTGAGTGAAGTCAAACTCCCTAACTTCACCCTAGGGGGCTCCAAGAGACACCAACCTGGACAGTCATTCCCTGCTTCCAGGACATCTCCGCCGCGATGGTGGTCCGGACAACGTTGGGATGTCGCAGCATTGCCTGCTGCTCCAGGCGATGCATCTTGCTCTCTGGGCCGGCCCGCACCAGCTCGATGAACTCCGTCAGCTCAGAGCGATAGGCCTACGGCATCAACATTCATAGCTCAAAAGTTACAAATACCTACTCCAACTACTCCGATGTGAAAGCTGATGGTTTGTCTTTTTGTGCTTCATCATCAAACTCCGCGGGGCAACACACCATTGTGCCATCTACAAGTCCCAAAAACCTGGAAAACTGCCAGATTTTTGGCCCAGAACCTCGCCCTTTTGTTTAAAGCGTAGTGGAGGCCTAATGTCAGAACCACAAATGGCGCAACTCCAACCAATGCATCGGCTTCAATTCAGCAAATCTCAGAATGGCCCCCAGCTTGCCAAAGCAGCATTTGGACGCTGCGCCAAAAATGGCGCAATACCGAAAGATGAATTCGAGCACGAGCGCTAACCTTTGTTCTACAGCATTTGCAATCAAAACCCATTTTTTGACCTCAGCAATGCCAACAGCATGTCAACTCTGTTGATATAATCTCTACTTGCACAGCCCTGCAGCATGTTCAGCAGCACTTGGACGCTCCTTCAAGTCTTCTTTTGGGATGGGAAGAAGAGGAGGCATTGGGGTGGAAGTGGAATGCGCCATCTACAGAATCTACAAACTTGTTTTTGTCAAGGTGCAACCTTGGACCTCGTGGTTTTTAACGCGGAGTTTGCGTGGTTTCTAGCTCGAAGATCATTCAAGTGCACATGTGGTGTTGAGCCTCATGAATATGCCGGCTACCCCTGAGTTGTGCCAACAATTTTCTCAGCGGTGTGACCAACTGGGTTCGCCGATGAATATTCAAGAAACGCTGTCCGGTATAAATCTTAGCTTGTGCGGCCACAACAAATCTTCTTGTGCGGCTATAATATCGTTCCAAAGTTGTTTGGTTTCTTGAAACTTTAAACCAATGCGGGGGATGCTTTGTGCAGGCGCCTTTCCTCTTTTTTAAGAAACCACAACACTGCAACTGCCACTTGTAGGGCAATCCAAAAACCCTTCTCATCCATCAGAACATAACACCAGCATAGACCCCAAATAGCGAAGACATGCAAAAAATTTTTCTGGACTGCGCTGGCAGGAACCTTTTTTTACACTGGAACAAACGCCGCAGTACAGCGTGGCAAGTCTCCACTACGCACACAGCCGGCACCAGCACCCGGCACTCAATCTCCACCACAGCCAGCACCAGCACCCAGCACCGGCACGCCAGCTCACAGCACCCAGCACCAGCACCCAGTCTCCACCACGCGCACACCCAGCACCCGGCACCCTGTTTCCACCACGCGCACAGCCAGCTCACAGCGCCCAGCACCAGCACCCAGCACTGGCACCCAGTCTCCACCATGCGCACAGCCAGCACCCAGACCGGCGCCCAGCACCGGCACCTCCAGTTCACCCAGCACCAGCACCCGGGACCGGCACTCTGTCTCCACACGCGCGCAGCCAGCTCACAGCACCCAACACCAGCACCACAGCCAGCACCACCACAGCACCCGGCACCGGCACCCTGTTCCACCACACGCACAGCCAGCTCACAGCACTCAGCACCAGCACTCCCTGTCTCAAAAGCGTGCGCAGCCAGCTCATTGCTATTTGAAGTAACAACCCCATAGCTGTCGCTATCTGGGGAAAAAGGACTGCTCCACACACCAAGGTTGCAGTCCTTATCATGTCATTAATTAATATATGTATATGTATATGTATATATATATATATATGTGTAAATGTATATATGTAATGTATAACAATATAGTAATTAAGAGATATTGATATAGGTGGTGAAATGATGTGTAATATGCATCTGTTCATGTCGTTCCAGTTGACCCGCTTGCCTCATGGTACCGCTGCGGAAAGCTGTACATGGCGGGCGGCATCAAATGGCCATCCGCCGTAGCAAGCTCGATGGTGCTCGTCAAGTTGTTCTTGGCACTGAGCATGCCCTGCTCGCCGAAGGCCTCGATCCGTTGATCGTAGCCTCGGACAAGTGATTGAAACTCTTTGGGATAAGAATATGTAAAATGTAATAGTACACTTAAAGTAAGGAAGGTTAACTTAGTTACTTACTGTAACTTGAGTAATTAGTTCTACAAGATAGAAGCAAGGAAGCTTCTAATACCAACTGGACGAAGGGCTTGGGTTCTTTAAGCAAGCTACCCCACCTGCTTTCATTGACGTCGCATGGTCGATATATCATATATATATAGAGAGAGAGATAGAGAGAGAGAGAGAGTTCACTATAGTTGCCATGCATTTCTAAACCTAGGTAAACTTAGGTCAACTGAAATTGATTTTTTGACTTAGACTCAGACCCTGTTGCAGATCACTATTCATCACAAGTTCTTGACGCAATATATATTCTTCGTTCGCTGTGATCAAATCCATGACACTACACCGGTGATGGATTGAAATTATCCTTCGGGGGATAAAAATAAACTGCAGGACAGGAATAAGATATCCGAAGTTTCCTCTACACTTCAAGTCTCATGCTGATATTTGGGGGTTGTTCAAAAGTCCTTTCATTTTTTCCAGGCCTTTCGCAGGACCTTCGCGAAGCTTTCGCAAGCTTTCGCGCGTGGGGTTTTACCACTGTCGGCGAAAATGGTTTTTTCGTTGGGGCTAGAGGCTTTCAAGGATTCATGCGCTTGCCCTGGCACGTCTTGTGTCCTCTGATCACTGACACATTGATTGCTGAGGAACGGGAAGCCAGCCAACCAAGACATTTTCATGTTGGTGTGTTTTTGGTTGGGTGCAACCCTCCATGAACAAGAGACGGCTCAGTCAGGCCAGTTTGCTCAGACTTCCAATTTGCTTTTTCCCGGGCCGGGAAAAAGCAAAATGGTACAGACTTCGAATTGGGAAAAAGCAAAATGGTTCAGACTTCCATTTTGCTTTCTTTCCGGGCCAGGAAAAAGCAAAATGGTTCAGACTTCCAATTTGCTTTTTCCCGGCCCGGGAAAAAGCAAAATGGCCAGACTTCCAATTTGCTTTTTCCCGGCCCGGGAAAAAGCAAAATGGTTCAGACTTCGGGTTTGCTTTTCCCCAACCCGGGAAAAAGCAAAATGGTTCAGACTTCCATTTTGCTTTTTCCCGGGCCAGGAAAAAGCAAAATGGTTCAGACATCCCAGACCGGGAAAAAGCAAAATGGTTCAGACTTCCAATTTGCTTTTTCTCGGGCAGACTTCCAATTTGCTTTTTCCCAGGCCGGCAAAAAGCAAAATGGTCCAGACTTCCAATTTGCTTTTTGCAAAAGGCTCAGACTTCCTATTTTTCTTTTTCCCGGGCCGGGAAAAAGCAAAAGGCTCAGACTTCCAATTTGCTTTTTCCCGGGCCGGGAAAAAACAAAATGGTTCAGACTTCCAATTTGCATTTTACCGGGCCGGGAAAAAGCAAAAGGCTCAGACTTCCAATTTGCTCTTTCGCGGGCCGGGAAAAAGCAAAATGGTTCAGACTTTCAATTTGCTTTTGCCCGGGCCGGGAAAAAGCAAAAGGCTCAGACTTTCAATTTGCTTTTTCCCGGGCTGGGAAAAAGCAAAATGGTTCAGACTTCCAATTTGCTTTTTCCCGGGGCGGGAAAAAGCAAACAGCTCAGACTTCCATTTTACTTCCAATTTGCTTTTTCCCGTGTTCAGACTTCCAATTTGCTTTTTCCCGGGCCAGCAAAAAGCAAAAGGCTCGACTTCCAATTTGCTAGCTGGGAAAAAAGATTCCCAGTGGCTCACTCCGGAGAAATAATTTGCAACTGGGGAGATTAGTCAAGCATTCAGGACCTCTGTACGCCTTCCATTGAAGTGGCAAAACCATGCAAAAACAAAAGATAAGAGGAGGCTGACCCAGCAGTAGAAACCATAGCCCAGAACCTTCTACTTCTGATCTTGATGCCTTATCCATTAGGCCACAGCTCCTTGATTTTAGTTTGTAAAGCTGATACAAGCTGCTTTTTCCCAATTTGACTCAGACTTTCCCGGCCCGGCGAAAAGCAAAAAGGTCTACACTTTCAATTTGCTTTTTCCCGACGGTCAAGACTTCCAACCAAGCCATTTTCATTTTGCTGTGTTTTTGGTTGGGCCCAACCCTCCATGAACAAGAGACGGCTCAGTCAGGCCAGTTTGCTCCAGTTTGCTCAGACTTCCAATTTGCTTTTTCCGGGCCCGGGAAAAAGCAAAATGGTCTAGACTTTCAATTTGCTTTTTCCCGGGCTGGGAAA